ACCACTTTAAGTTTCCTAACCACTTTACATTTTCTTATGTTTCTTATCTTGTTACACTCCACCCTCACTGTGCCCCACCCAAGATCGTTTACCCTCTTTCAGATAGCCGCAAAACTCATTAAGTGAAAATGATCTCTGTGCCATTTTCATTTCCACAGACATCAGTAAAGTACAAACAAGTGATACCTGTGTCCCATTTTGCTCCTAGCCTGGGGCGGGGGGAGGAGAGGGGGAGGAAGAACCCGAATAGAACCTGAGGTGATGGCTGCTGAGAAGAGGCCAGCAGGCTGAATTCTAGCAAGTTTAATCACTGTTAAGCCCATCATATTTCCTGACACAAGATAAAATGTCTCATTGCTGAAGGAGGTCATCAAGACGACATGACCACCGGTTGACTGGACTCAGGGAATTGGAGGCTCCTCACCCCTTCCCCTGCCCTTGGGCAAATCTCCATTGGTGAATTCCACCTCTGGGTAACCAAACCAGTACTGAGGGCAAACATTAACTGGGAACCAGTAAGCCTGTCATCCCTGTAGAGTGGTAACTGTCAATATAAATTGCTTGGGGGCATAAGGATAAGCAGTCCAAAACTGCACTGAATGTCCAGTAAAAACGTCAGATCACTCATGGTGGATGACAGCACACTACCGAGAACTGAACAAGGTAGTCTCTTCCCAATCCATGCAGCTGTGCCCAACATTGCCACCATCTTAGATACCTTGGCCAGAGTCCTAGGAGTGTACTGTGCTGTGCTGGACTTAGCAAATGCCTTTTTTCAGTATATCCCTGACCACTGAGTCACAAGACCAGTTTGCATTGACATGGGAGAGGCAACAATGGGTCTTTCGAGTGATTCCCTAAGGCGCCGTGCACAGCCCCACCATGTGTCATGGGATGGTAGCCTGAGACCTGCCCTGTTTTCCTTGCCTACATCACTAAAATGGGTCCATTACACTGATGATATAATGTTAACATGGGAAGATTTGCCTCTGCTGGAGGCAAACCCTGGAGGCTTTGCTGGAGCCTGTGTGAGAGAGAGGATGGGCAGTGAACCCACAAAAAACTCACGGTCAAGGGAGCTGTCTGGTCAGATGAGACTTGTGTTGTCCCAGAAGCTGTGGTCGATAAGGTGCAAGCCTACCCAGTCCCTAAGAATGTGAATGAAATGCCAGCCTTTGCAAGGATTTAGGGACTTGAGAGGACTCTTATTGGCCACCTGGCACAGTGTCCCCATTCCTTATACCACCTGGTAAAGAAAGGGCACATGTAGGACTGGGGATCAGAGCAGCAAGCTGCCTCTGAAAAGGCCAAAATACTAGTAAAGCAGGTTATAGTTCTGGGCATCTCCCAAGCAGGACTACCATTTGAATTAGATGGGTCTGTGACTCTGGAACATATGCGCTGGGCAGCACTAGCAGAAATAAGAGGAGAGTGTACTCCTCGGATTTTGGTCTCAGCTCTGGGAAGAGAGCAAAAACCCGCCTAACCCGCATAGAGCACCCTTCCAGATTGAGCCTCTCACTAAGGAACAGAGCACTGTGCTAAGAACTCCCCTGCCCCCCAAGGGATGGGATGAGAATATGTTCCATTTACCCACCTCTGCCATAGCTCAAACTTCCACTGTGATTAAGTGACATGCCTATTTGCAGCAGAGGTGCACCCTGTCCACCAGTCTACTAGAAATGCAGGTGCTGCTAGGACCTGTGGAGGATGTAGATCCTCCAGATGCCCCTGCCCCTATACCTGCTGTGTCCCTGTAGCCTGTAGGGAGGGAGTGGGGAAATTCTAGCTGATGCCCGGTATACACCTGGGTCTAGTCAGGGCAATCCCTTCAAGAGGACTACAGTCAGTATTTTGCCCAAAAATTACCCCCTCTGGGCTGGAAACAGGAACTGAGTACAGTAACCAGCGGGCTGAACTCAGAACAGCTTGGCTGGTGATTCATGAGTTCTGGCTGTTACTGCTTTGTTAACCCTTTGCACTGACAATTGGGCTGTTCTAAACGGAAGAAACCTACGGCTTGGACATTGGGAAGCCAAGGGGTGGATGATCGTGAATGAGCCCTTGTGAGTAGCAGGATATGTGGAAAGACATTTGGGTTCCCCTATAAGAGCCTGAAGTATAACTCACTGTTTTCTAGATCCCTGCTCATAAAGCACTGACATCCCCTGGCAATCAGGAAGGTTATACCTTAGCTCGTATCATCCTTGAACTATAGGGACTCAAGTTAACACAGTAACAGCATATCCTGTGTGTTATAACCGATGCCAAAGGCAACTATCAAAGGAATCTGGTGTTCTCAACCAGGGAGGGATTGGCAAATTGATTATATTGATTATATTGCCTCACTCTCCCAGAGTGAAGATTATACATATACCCTGGTTTGTGTGGACACAGCACCTGGCCTAACCCAAGCTTTCTCTGTGAATGTGCAAACCAGGCTGCCACCGTTAGGGGGTTATAGAAGCTGAGTACCATGTATGGATACCCTCATCAGTAGACATGACGGGGTGGTCCCATTTCAAAGGTCATGATGTGCAAGACTGGGTAAAAGTCATGATAGTGAATGGAGGCTCCAGCTCCCCTAGAGCCCCCAAGCAGCAGGGTTGGTAGAAAGGAAAAATGGAATATTAAAAGGAGCAGATGAAATTACTAACAGGTGAAACCATTTTGGCCAAGTAGACGAAAGTACTGTCCCAGACTTTAACACATTTGCATGATCAACCAATAAGTCCTAATTACCCCATATGCCAGACTGGGGACCCCTCCTAAGGCCCTCGATACTGTAAAGGTGTGGAAGTTGCAGAACGCAGCCATTGCCCCAACTCTCACCAAGATGAGCATGCTGTGCTGTTGAGAACACCAGACCCTGAGAAAGGCATTATCTACTGGGATTTGCAATGGTAAGTTCTGCTGGGGTGGGTGAGTTACTTCGCACTGGGATCCCATTGTCCTGCTACAAGCTAGACTTGTTGAAACGTTCTATACCTGCAATGGAATATGTACCATCGAGAGAGGGGGAGAGGATGGGGGTCCTGGTCTGGCATATCCCACCCCAGTCCATCTCACACCTGACAGTGCTGCCTCGCCTGGCCAACCTGGATGGTATACGTGACCCGGTCAAATTCCTAAAACTGCAACCACCCTAACGTCTAAAGATCAGGCCTTGTCATTCTTGTAACAGAGGAACATGTCCCCATACAAGTTCCTACTAAATATCTGTTTGACCTGAGACTCTGCTGCTCCTTTGGTGTCCAGTTACACGATGGGCACCTGACAGAAATTCCTTTCTACAGTGGGCCCACCCCTATGTCCAACAAAGAAATCAATCCAACTGATGGCTATGTGGGAAGCTGCCCGTCTCTAGCTCCTCAGGATTGCCATGGTGAGAATCACCCCTCCAAGAAAGACACTAAGAGGCCCTAAAGCTGTACATTAAGGAAGAACAAATTAGGACTAGCATTCTTGGTTCATCTGATCTTACCAACACTGATCCAGAAACCTGGCCTGGGGCACACACTATCAATAACACTGGGCATGGGTCTTCTTTTCCTGTCTATCAGACTACACAGGCAGCCCATTAACCTGCTCACTGGAAGGGTCCTAGAAATACCACCGTCGAGCCAGATTTGGGATGGGTTTATGGACATTTGAACACCCAGGCACGCCTACGTTGGGAGGAGAGAAAAGTCATTCGAAACAGAACCAACACAACTGTACCGGGAATATAGGAGGGATGTCACTGGAACTGTGTGGTCAGTCACTCTGCCATATTAAAGGAGAGTGATTAGTTTGGTACTAACTGGTTGCACCACCCAGGTATTTATCGGGTAGCCCGAAAAGGGGCCTACTGGTTGTGTGGAACAAAATTTTGGCCATGGTTCCCACCTGAGTGGTTGGACCACTGCACCCTGAGTTTTCCCTGGGCATAGGGGAGAGCTCCCCCCACCCGTGGAAACAATACTTGCCAAGTTCCCTCACCTCAAGGCTAGATGGACACGCTATGTTTTTCACTGACACAGACTACAGCTGCTGTCTTTGTTTCCTCCATTGGCCGGGTGGATGTTATAGTACATATAGAAGTCCTTACTAAATTCACCCAGCAAGCATTAAATGATAACCAACAAACCTTGTCCTTACGGAATACTGCAATAGCTCTAGTGGGAAGAGCTGTCCTCCAAAATAGAATGGCTTTGGACATTATTTTTGCCTCAGAAGGAGGCACCTGTGCCATTATCCAAACAGAATGCTGCGTGTTCATACCTGATGAGTCTGCTTATGTATCACCTTTACTAAATCACAGGAGAACATAAGTGAACACCGTGAGTGAGCCAACCCCCCAGCCAGGGAACTTAATCAATCAGTGGTTAGGAGCCTGGGGTCCCCGGTGAAAAAAAAAATTGTTTTGGAAATCATTACCTTAATCTGTGTTTTCTTTTGCATGTGCCTACACTTTTACCGTGGTATCTGCCTCCCATGCAGACAGAAAGACACCAAATGGGCCACCTCCATGATAGCGAACCCCCTTGCTGACTGCTCAGGGGACAGCATAGAAGAGGGGGCTGTGTGACATTGTAAAAGCTGGTCAGGAGAGGTGGCATACTGGGGGGAAGTCATCAAGAGGCTGTGCCCACACGTTGACCCAGGAGCTGGACCCTCAGAGACTTCTTGGCATGTACATCCTGCTGGCCTTGCTAGTGATGTGGTGCCGAGACCATGTGCATGGTACTGATTGAATCCAGTTAACATATAGCAGGTGTGGAGATGTACTTGTCTTGCTGCTGCCCAGGACACACCTCATATGTGAGTTCCCTTGCTTATTTAAACTTGCCACCTGCCACCCTGGAGTGGCCCGCCTCTTTCTTGGGTCTCTCTCTGCCCTCCATGAAGGGGACCAGTTTCAGACTACACCTGGGATGCTCCTGAGGTTGCAAACTAACACTCTGCTGGGCGCCTAGTTTCAGTGCAGGTTCCAAATACTGAAGAACCAGGAGACTTACCTGGAACCTCCAGAGCCCGCCAATGTCATCAGTCCTTTCAAAGCAGACTGGCTCCAGGCCTTCTTCCAGGCAGCACTTGATAGAGGAGAGCCCACTCACACCTCCCCCAATCACTGCAATGCTTTTCTTGGTCATGGTCTCCAGATATCTTTACCAGGCTAGATCAATGTAACCTGTCCAAAACAAACAAACAAGGAAACAAACAAACAAAAAGAGAGAAAGCACACCTCAGTTAACACATTTCAGGGAAGAAAGATCTTGGCCATGGCATCCTCCAAATAAATGCTGCTACAACAGGTGCTTTAGGAGAAACCAGATTCTGCTGTCTCCGGGGCATAGGGAATTGCTACGAAAGGGATATGGGAGCCCTGGGTCTGCAAGACCCGAAGCTGAGAGCCCTGCTGTGGCAGCCCAACTCACTGCCTTTCCTGTGTTGCAGGGGGGATCCTTCAGCTGCCATCCAGAGGCTGCGCTGCACTTTTGGCTGTTGAGGAAGAAAGATAAACCAACAAAGTGCAAACAGCCAACAGCCAATGGGGAGTAATTATTCCTCTCCACCTCCTTCCAGCCAAAGCCCTGCAACTCAGTGGCACCCACTCCCTCCTCCAGCGAGAATATTACCTGGGCCAAACCTGCTTTGAGCCTAAAATAAATCCAACGACCTCTGTTTTGGATTGCAGTTGCCTGGAGGCTCAAACACTGTCTCTAGAGACACAGCAATCCTGAGTTTCCATCCCAGCCCTCTCCATATCCACTTTTAACTTCCTGGTATCTGCCTTAAAGTGACAAACTCCTCCTGGTGAAAGGGAAACTAGCAACAACCTCAAAGCAAGTCTTGCTCTAAAAGCTTCAGTGGAGAACACCTACCTTTCAGGATGTGTTAAAACAGATCCCGGAGCCTCATCCCCGCTCCCCACCCCACTCCCAACTCACAGATTGGCTCTTTGGTTCCAGGTTGCTGGTAGAAATTTACTTAAAGTATCTGTGCACTAAACGAGCCGCTGCGGTTCTGTGAGAAATGGATCACGTTTCCCACCTAAAGGAGCTTCTACCTGGTTGGCTGAGTTGTTAAGTGTCTGCCTTTGGCGCAAATCAGCATCTCAGGATCCTGGGTTGGATCCAGGGTTGAAAGCCCTGCATTGGGCTTTCTGCTCAGTAGGGCAGTCCGCTTCTCCCTCTGCCCCTGTGTGTGCTCTCTTTTACTAAAATAGGTAAATTTTTTTTTTTTAAGTGTTTTCTCAGGGCACCTGGGTGGCTCAGCTGCTTAAGTGTGGGGTCTCCATTTCGGCTGGGGTCAGGATCTCAGGGCCAGGAGATTCAGCCCCACCTAGGGCTCAGGTTTAGGGAGTTGCTTCTCTCCCTCTCCCTCTTTCCCTCCCTGCGAGCTGTCTTGCTCTCTTTCTCTCTCTCAAATAAATCTTTTTTTTAAAGTGCTTTCTCTCAGTTACATCAGTAATTAAAAACATAAAATGTCCACTTCAAAAATGGAACTTAATTTTTTGAAATATAAGATCATGCAGAAGAGGCCAGTGTAACGGATGTAGGATATCACACACCGAGTCAGAATCAGGGCCCATCCAACCCACCAGTCTGTTTTGACATATGTGAGGAGTTTTTGGAGAACTAAGCAGTGGCTGATGCCATCTATTTGTTTACCTTCTACTTACTTCCTTAGCCAACTTGGCTCAAGATGGTTTGATGTCAGTAATGTCAGTCCCGGGTTTCCAAAGTATCCTTCATGGGCCAGTAATGATCATTTCTCAAGGGCTCACCTTGTACTGTTCAAAAAACCGGATGGGAATGAACCCATGTAATCTCTCAGCAACCCAATGAGGCAAGTACTATCATCACCCCCATCCTCCCAGTAAGTGGAAAGGCAGGGATGCAAACCAGGCAGTTTAACTTATAAATGAGTTATTCGTAAACTGGATAATTTTGAATGCGCTAGAGATGCCTAGATACAAGAAAACAGGTGAATGCTTTTATAAATTGAATATTAATCTCTCCCTTACTGAATCAATTTCACAATTTCAGAACAATGCAAGAATTACTTTTAAAACTTAATATTGTAAAATGTAATTTTATTTTAATTCTCTACTACTTTGTGTTTTACAATTAATTGCTTTATTTTTAAATTTGGCAACTATGTTTTGTGTGGGGTTTTTTAAAAGATTTTATTTATTTATTTGACAGAAAGAGAGAGAGAGCACAAGCAGGGGGAGCGGCAGGCAGAGGGAGAGGGAGAAGCAGGCTCCCCGCTGAGCAGAAGGAACTGGATGTGGGGCTCCACCGGGATCATGCCCCGAGCCAAGGCAGTCAGTTAACCAACTGAGCCACCCAGGCGCCCCTGTTTTGTGTTGTTTTTAAATTACTTGTAAAATGTTTTAAACCTTGACTCAAATTTCCTCATTTAGTCTGCCATTTGCAAGTGAGTCAATTTCTTCACTGGGCTAAAACAATATATGCAAACTAATGGACAGGCTCAACACAATTACTCACTCATGCTATTAGGAAAGAGCAATAGCACAAATGACAGATACAATAGATAACAGTAATTCCAAGGTAGTATTTATGAAGCTTTTGGAGGAGAATGTTTGTGTGTGTGCATGTGCGTACATATGTAATTGTACAGAGGAGTTTCTGCAAAGGTCTAACCGAGGAGGAGCTTTTGAACAGTTTGGCATCACTCCTACTCAGATGTTCTCCCGTCCTAATTCTTTCTGTTATGTCTGCATTTTGCATTTTACATTCATTCAATATTGTCCTTTAGAGGCCACTTCTTTTAAGATGGCAGCTATAAAAGATAGAAAGAGCTTATCTTAGATCTTATTTGAAGAACTGCCAAGGAAAGCTGCTTGATTAGCACTGGACTGGGACATAACTTTTCACTTTCTTAATTGTCTTTTGATGAGAAGTTATAAATATTGATGAAATCTATTTAACAGTTTTTCTTTTATGATTAGTACTTTTTGCTCCTATTTAAGAAACCTTTGCACATCCCAAGCTCATATAGCTTCCTGTGTTTCCAGCTAGAAGATTTATAATTTTAGATTTTAAATTTAGATCTATGATCCATTTTAAATTAATATGAATGGTATAAGTGTAAAGGTCAAGGTGAATTTTTTTAAGAAAAATTAATAGCTTTATTTTTCCTCAATATACATTTAGAAAATAGGTCTAAGGAAAGGTTTCATGAAATAGACCAGAGGACTATACACAAAGTGGAGAGTTCCTAATCAGAGAGACCGAGTGCACGGAGGGAGCACTCTTCCCCAAGGGCCACAGCAGCCTAGGACCTTCCAGTTGAACATTTGCCCATCATCATCACAGGGTGACTTTTTTTTTTTTTTCCTATCTGGATGTTATGGTCTTCCAGCAGCATTTATTCTAGGACCTTTCTTTCCCCTTGAATTGCGTCGGTGTCTTGGTCATTGGTCATGTATGTGTGAACCTGTATCGGGACTCTCTTCTGTCTCACTGGCCTATTTGTTTATCCTTACACTTATACCATATGGTATTAATTACTTTAATCTAAAATTTGAAAACTGGTTATATACATATCTTCCATCTTTGTGCTTATTTTAACCAACTGAGCCACCCAGGCGCCCCTTTGTGCTTATTTTAGAGATGATTTTGACTATTCTGATTTTTTTCAATTCCATATAAATTTTAAAATTAGCCTATCAATTTCTATCAAAGAAGCCTCCTGGGATTTTGATTAGGATTACATTGAATGTACAGACCAACTTGGGGAGAACAGACATCCTAACAATTGAATCTTCTAATCTGTAAAATAGACTATTTTTGTCTTTTAAAAGGTCTTTTTTGATTTCTCTCCGTGTTGTTTCATAATTTTCAGTGTGGAATCTTGCACATTTTATTTAGTCCTGTGTATTTTATTTTGAAAATCCTATTGTAAATGGTGTTGTTTTTACATTTTCATCTTCCATTTATTTGTTGCAAGTATGAAGAAATACAACTGATGTTTGTGTATTGACTTGTAGCACGTGGCTTTGCTAAATTCACTTCTTACTTCCAGTAGTTTGTAGATTCCTTGGATAGTCTACAATCATGTCATTTATGAATAACACGTTACCGTTTTCTTTCCGATTTTTACGTTTTTTTCTCTCCTTATTGCGCTGGTTAGGACCTCTAATACGGTATTGAACAGAAGCAGTGATAATAGACACACTTGTCTTGTTAGGGAGAAATGGTCACTATTTTATCATTAAGTGTGATGTGATTTGTATGTTTTAGGAAAATAATCTTATCAAATTGAAGAAGTTTCTCTCTATTCTTAGGTAGCTAGGAATTTTTATTATGAATGGGGGTTGAATTTTATAAAATACTTCTTCTGAATCGATTAAGAGGATCCTATTGTTGAAATTATATTGAATAATTTATTTTTATTTCTTTAAAGATTTTATTTGAGAGAGAGAACGAGCGGGGGGGTGGGGGAAGGGCAGAGGGAGAGGGAGAGAGGGAGAAGCAGACTCCCTGCTGAGCAGGGAGCCCAATGTGGGGCTTGATCCCAGGACCCTGGGATCATGATCTGAGCCAAAGGGAGACGCTTAACCAACTGAGCCACCCATGTGCCCCTTGAATGATTTTTTTAATGTTAAGCAAACTATGTCTTTCTAGAATAAACTCACATAACCATGATGTGTATAGTTCTTATGGAACATTGTATTTGATTTGTTAAAATTCCACTTGGAATTTTTTTCCATTAAAGGGATATTGCTCTAATTTTTTTTTGGTAATGTCCTTGATAGGTTTTGGTATCAAGGTTATGCTGGCCTATCTGACAGATTTTGTGTAGAATTGTTGATCTTTTTCCTTAAAAGTTTGGTAGGATTTACCAGTGTCGCCGTCTGGATCGGGTGTTTTGATTGTTGGAATGTTTTAAATTATGGATTTAATTTCATTAAAAGAGGAGTGTTCAAATTTTCTCTCTTCTTGTGTCCATTTCTGTAAGTTGTGTTTTTCTAGAAAGTTGCCCATTTCATCTAGGTCGTCAAATGTCTTGGCATAAAGTTATTCATGACATCCTTTTTTTTTTTTT